ACCAGCCTAGGGATGGCTCCACCCACAGTGGACTGGGCCCTTCCACATCAGTGGCTAGTTAAGACAATGCCCTGTAGACTTGCCCACAGCTCTGTCTCATGGGAGGCATTTTCTCAGTTGAGGCTCCCTCCTCTCAGATAACTGTAGCTTGTGTCAAGCTGACATAAAATTAGCCAGCACAGCAAAGTAGGGATTTCCAAGATGCTTGGAGACATGTCTAGCTCCCAGATCTCCACAAGTGACTTAGTGGGGCCTCTGCAGGTCCTTGGGTAGGAAAGCTATTACTCATCCAGGGAATTCTATCAGTAAGCACACAGAGCCCCAAACTGTTGGATGGGTGGCTTTAAGAAATGATCCTAAAGAAATGAGCACAAATACCTGTAGAGATTTATCTGCAAGATCATGCATGAGAGCCTTGTTTATAAGAAGAAAGAGTATCATTGAAAACGTTCTCAAGCTTCAACCAAAGGGATTGGTTAAATAATTTACAGCACATTGGCACAATGCAGGTGTCATAAATTACACCATGGAAAGACATTTAATGACATGATAAAAAATGTGAGACAACTGAAAATAATATATATTACATAATCCTACTCTGATGGAAAATATACACATGGAGAGAGAGACACACGCACAAGATGAGACAGAAGTTACGCATCAGGAATATAAAATATTTGTGATTTCAGGGTAGGTGGAATCATCAGAATTTTGAATTCTCTTGATGTTCATTACTTGTATATCAGAAGAGCAGGCACCTTACTTTTTAAATCAATATCTCCCCCAGGCACACGCAGAACAATGCTATGCACAAGGCGCTGTCTTACGTGCTGGGAAGCAATGCCCAGGAGCAGGCTTTTTGCATGAGAGAGCAGCTCCTCACTGCTGGGCCAGCTGTTCAGACATACCCCCCTCCCAGGGGTCATGCAGCAACCCCACTGCTTATGTAACCAAGCTGCAGAAGAAATGCACTTGGCAGCCTCAGCCCTGGGCAGACAGATCTTCTGACTCCGCAGCTCTATAACAGACCGTAATGGGACAAACCAGAACTGATGGTTGTGTAAAAGTGGGAACGATGGACTTTTTTTTTTTTTTTTTTTTTTTGGCCACTGCGTCCCACTGCTGAGCCGGCACATCCCTTGTTGGTCACTCAGCACATGTGTAAGCTGGCTGGCTACACCTTGCTCCCAACTCTCTTGCTCTGATGAATAATTAACACGCGTAGAGTGCTTTGCTTGTAATAACCCAAATGGTCCTCATAGCACCGTGAGGTGCTCCGGCAATGCTCCCATTACAGACAGGGAAGGAGACAGAGAGAGAAGCAGCTCACCCCAAGCCATGCACCAATTGATGGAGGAGCCAAGAATTAACCCAGGCAGTGTGACTCCAGGGTCTGCCCTTAACATCATGGCTGAAAATCTCTTTCTGGTCCTGTTTCCATGGTGATCCCCCTCCTCCCCAGAAGTACCGAATTCCTTCAGGATATGAACTACATCCTTCATGTTTATGGGACCAAATAGGACCCAATGTGGTGCTGGGCACACTGCACATTCCCAGGGACTTGCACCCTGGGGACTTGCACCCTGGGGACTTGTAGCCTGCCTGCCTTCCCTACTGCTTCAATAGGCAGCTCTAGTTTCTGGCAACTTGTCTGTGGGGGACTCTAAGACTGAGAATGCTCCAGATGTGCTGTCTTCACTTCCAGGAGCACTCAAGGTTCCGTGGGGCTTCTCTGGAACATCTTCCCAAAGGCTTGCTCAGCCCTGGGTTCTTAGAACCAGCTCTGCATGTGTTCACGGCCCTCATCCCTGCCCTCCAACAGCCAAGGCTGGCCAGGTGATGGCATAGAGCTCAGACAGGAAGGCTGCTGTGGCTCACTTCTTGGTTTTTATTCCTTCCTTGAAGCTTCATGTCTGAGTACTAAGCTGAGAACACACTGCTGCTCCAAGTCAGGGCTTATTGGAAGAGACACACACGTCACACACACAGTCTCTGCGTGGTGGGACTTTGGATGATTTTGCTGGCGGCTGACTTCCCAGATTTTTCTAACCTTATGCAATGAACATGCGTTTTGGGGGGTAAATTAAATAAAGTGAGGAAAGGTTAACTGTTCTTCCTTGGCCCCTGGGGCACTTTTCTTCTGCCCTTGTGTGGGATGACAGCCTCCTGTGGCTTCCTCAGACTCCTGTCTGATTTTCACACCAGCAAATTCCCATCCCATTCCCCTATTCCATTCCCTCCACTGTCGACTAGTTTGTGCAAAACCTCGTGGATCCCAGAACATTCCATGGGATTAATCCTGCTGGTCCTCACAATTCTGGCTTCAGGAGAAATTGTCCACACCTTCTTAACGATGCCTGTGTCTGCAGCTCCCTTCTTGGAACCCACTGATGGTTTGACATCTACAGCCTGATGTCCTGAGCCACTGACAGCCACCCCCAAGCACCTTAGCTCCATCCCTCCCTCTCTCCTTCACACTCGTCTCCCCCCTTCCCTGTCTCTTACAGCAGCATCGCTGAGATCTGGGTGGGAAAGCTCGTGGTGACATGACTTCTTCCTAGGTTGGTCGTCCAGCTAACAGGCCTGGGCTTCCTACCTTCATAATGTCTTTTGGCTATGTCTGAATGGCTTCCACTCTTTTCTTATGTAACATTGTAACACTCTCAGATATATTTTTAATACCTCAATATCAGAATCTGAGTAATTTATAAAGAATAAAAGATCATCAGCCCACTGTCCTGGAAGTTCTTCGGACCCCACATTCACACATTAGTCGACTCATAGTTCGCCTCTTACATGTCCTGCCTGATATCCCTCTTGGTGTCTCACAAGTCAGTCTTAGCATAAGCTCTGGCGGGGCCAGTCAAGCACAGTGGATCTCCTCCGGCTCCTGGATCTTCCTCACGCCCCTGAGCACCGCTGTGGCATGGACCCTGGTATCTCAATTGCCTTTGAAGCTTCAGGGCCTAACCTAGAACCCAAAGCACAGCATGTCCTCAGTGAAAGTCCCTGGATCCAAGAGTGAAAAAACAAACACACACACAACAAAATGGGTGAACAAATAATTCTTCATAATCTGTCACCTTGATGCTAGGGCCTCATCCTCCCCAGTCTTTCCCGCATCTCTCTACCCGATGACTCCTCCAGCATGGTGCCTGAGCATAGGAACCAAGGTTGGACTTTCAGATGCTCCCACTGACTGCCAGGGCCTTCAAAGTTCAGCCCTAGCATCTTCCCGGAAGCAGCCTTTGCTTTCATTCCCCAAGCCCCGCCCCCAGCCTTTCAGGGCCTTTGTCACCTTGCTCTCTGATTGGCCTCAGTGCTGGTTCTTCCGCTTAACTCACATTTTCCTACGCACAGTGGGCCTTTTTTCCTGTGGTGGCGGGTGGCGTGGTTACAGTAAGAATCTCAGTCTCTTCATGACGCCCTCCCCGAAACCCTGGTCTTCAGTAAGAAACATCCACCATGGTGTTAGGTGAGGCCTGGGAAGTGCTTGCCCCTGAGGCATCATGCTTTTTTGATGTTCTTGGGAACCCAGCAGCTGTCACTGTAGAGATAAACCCAGGCTAGCCTAGATCTCAAGGTGCCAGTCTGATGATACTCACAGGAATAAGGCCACACCACCGACTCACTGAAACATGGCTGTTGCTTCAAGCTTTGGGGCCAGTTTGTGGTAAAGCAGAAAGTTGCTCTTGGAGGGAACTAAAGAAATGCAATTAATTCATCATCGTTAATGAACAAAGGCATCAAACATAACTAGAGAAAGCCGAGAAAGAGGCGAGGCCTGGAGTGATGGGTCACCTGAGCATATAGTCCCAGGAGGTTAGCAGTCTGACATCCTGCCCAGACTTTAAAAATCACAAGGGGAGAAAACAGACTCCCATCAGTCCCACCGCGCCTACTAGGGTGAGGACTGGAAACTTGCAGAGTATCATTCTTCTTGCAACTTTGGAGCCGTGAGCACAAGGACACAAGGAAGCCACATCAAAAGGAGGGTTCACAATGAGGCTACTGCATGAAACCGCACCTGCCTTCCTTGGGGCTTCTGGTTAGGAGCGATAACTCAATATCCTTAATGCTCAAACCGCTGTTACTCGCAGTCAATTGTATATGCAAATTGGTACAATCTCTGAGGAGTGTAACTTGGCAATATATTTCTATTTTGAATGCACATACTCTTTGCCTGATAATTCTACTTAGCGGAATTTCTCCCACAGATATACTTACACAGGGATCAAAGACGTATATTTAAATATATTAATTACAATGGTAGGTATGCAACAATGTGGTTAGGTAGATTATGGTGCATCCGTAAAATGGAATGCACACTGGCTTTAAAAAGAAAGACTCAGGTCCATGTACAGGAGAGAGAAATTATATTCCAGATTTATTAAAGGAAGGAAGGAAGATCAGTAGAAAGTGAGTGCTTGGGATGTGGAGGTGTTTTGGTGCCTTTTTTTTGGATTATGGAGTTTTAAAATTTCCAAAATATAAAAATTTAAAGGCAAGAGTAAGAGCATGAATTAGTATGGGTATTTTTAAAATAAATTATGTGGGGAACATATATATTCATAAATAAAATATATAGGCAGAACAGGTTACAGTAACTAAGGAGGGGTGGACTTAGAGGAAATTAAATCTTCATGTCTCTTCGTCCCTTTTGAATTTTTATGTAAAGCTGGGTATAGTGGCAATTGTAATTCAAACTACTCAGGAAGCCGAGTCAGGAAGGCTGAGAGTTAATGATAAGACTGGAAAACTTAGTGAGACTCTGGCTGAAAAAACCAAAAGAGGCTAAGAATGTAGCTCCATGGCATAGTGTTCTTGTACCATGCACAAGACCCTGGGTTCAAATCCCAGCATCACATAAAAAAGAAAGAATATTGAAAAACTAACTCTTGGCCCCAGTCACTGAGCTGCCGCTGAGGACTCAGCTGCCCCCCCTCGAGCCCCCTCGCTTCCCGACGCTCCTTGGTTCCCCCCCCCCCCGCCCACATTCTCCCGACCCGCCTTCCGCGGGCCGTTTCCACCGAGGAAAAGGAATCCTATCGTATGTCCGCTATCCAGAACCTCCACTCTTTCGACCCCTTTGCTGATGCAAGTAAGGGTGATGACCTGCTTCCTGCTGGCACTGAGGATTACATCCATATAAGAATTCAACCGAGAAACGGCAGGAAGACCCTTACCACTGTCCAAGGGATCGCTGATGATTATGATAAAAAGAAACTAGTGAAGGCGTTTAAGAAGGAATTTGCCTGCAATGGTGTTGTAACTGAGCATCCAGAATATGGAGAAGTGATTCAGCTCCAGGGTGACCAGCACAAAAACACAAGCCAGCTCCTGAGAGAGACTGGACTGCCTGAGGACGACCAGCTGAAGGTCCATGGGTTTTACATGCTTGTGACCCTCTGAAGCCTAAGTGAGGATTTCCTTGCAATGAATAGAATTTCTAAAACCTCACAACTTGTATAATGTAACCATTTGGGGTCCCCTCTTAACTTGGACTAGTGCAACTCCTTCATGCAATAAACTGAAAAGAGCTGGGCGGTGGTGGCGCACGCCTTTAATCCCAGCACTCGGAAGGCAGAGGCAGGCGGATCTCTGTGAGTTCGAGGCCGGGCTGGACCGATAGCCTCCGAAACAGAGAAACCCTGTCTCGTAAAAATAAATAAATAAATAAAAATAAAAAATTAACTGAAAAGAGCCAAAGAAAGAAAGAAGGAAGGAAACAGAAAATTAACTCTTCCATCTAGATTTTCAGATGTCATTTTTTTTCTTTCTTTCCTCTTATTTATTTTGAAGATCGGATCTTCTGTAGCCTGGCTGACCTCCTGGAGGATGACCCCCCTGGTCTCCTTGCTCTCACCTCTCAAGTCTGGGATTGCCCGTGTGTACCACCATGCTCAGCTAACTCACTTTTGAAATAAAATGATATTTAAAAATCAACGAAATGAAAAACACAGTCATTGAAAAGGTAGTTCACGCCCTCCCAGTGCAGTCTCAAGTGTTGCTGAGTTCAGGCAGGATCCCTGGGTAGCAGCTCTCCCAGTGACCCCCCAAGAAGATGATGCTGACACAGCTCCGCCTGAGGCGGAGCCCACCAATGAGCTGGGCCTTCTAGAGCAGAGTCACAAAGATGCTGGGGACAAGGAAAACCGTGATTATATGTGAGTGCTATAGCCTATAGACAACAAATAAAGTTAACTCATCCCCACAGCATAAAAAGATGTCTCTAAAAAGTAACTCCAGCACTGAAGCTGGGGCCCAGGGGTGGTGCACTCACTTAGCATGCTCAAGGCCCTGGGTAGGATCTCTAGTTTACTCCCGAAGGAGATGGGATGTCCACTGTGACATTTTCTTTTCCCTTAGCATACAGCAATTGTACAGAGTGATGTGTTCCCTGTGGCGCGTTCATACATGCATATGTTTTGATCATAGTCACACACACCCCACTGTCCTCTCCTCTCTCTCTCTCAGTCGTCATGGATATTTTATAAATTCAGAAGAGCATGGAAAAGAGGCAATGGGTCAAAATCCTTCCTAACCCCATTCCTAGCACTACATTACATCTTGATGTGGATGTATGGATCTGCTCGTGTGTGACCAGGATACACATGCCATCTTGTAAATTTTTTTTGAGACAAGATCATAGTGTGCTGCCCAGCTGACCTGGAACTTACTATAGAGACCATGCTGGCCTCGAACACACAGAGATACACCTGCCTCTACTTCCCCACCTCTAAGGGCTGGGCTTACAGCTTGTGGCACCATGCTTTGTCAATTTTGTTATCTTATCCACTGTCATTTAAAAATACAATGTAACTTTAAACGTCTGTATATTGCACTAGTCTGCCTGTCGACAACCTTACCAACTCCCTAAACGGAGCGTTCAGCGTGTTTTCCCCTCTCTGGTGTCAATGCATTTCTAAAGCACTGCTAATGCAGCACTTTCTGACTTCACACACACACACACACACACACACACACACACACACACACACACGCTCGCACGCACGCACGCATACCTTAATTTTCTCTTTCACGCATGCACACCTTAATTTTCTCTTTCCTGCCCTTATTGCTTTATTTCCTTCAATAAATACCCGTAGGGAATGGGAGTGTGGTTCAGTGGTAGAACACGTACTTAGCACCGAGAAATCAATACTTATTAGGAATAAAACAACCAAGTTCATACAAAGCAATTATAAAAGACAATTCTAGGCTATTTGGGGGAAAATATAATGTCTTCGTTAGGGTTTCTATTGCTGCAATGAAACACCATGACCAGAAAGAAAGTGAGGGAAGAAAGGTTTGGTTTACATGTCCACATCACCAAAGGAAGTCAGGACCAAGACTCAGACAGGGCAGAATCCCGCTGGAGCTGATGTCATGGAAGAAAGCTGCTTATTTGCTTACTTTCCATGATTTGCTCAGCCTGCTCCCTTACAGAACCCAGGATCCACTGATGGCACCACCCACCATGGGCTGAGCCTTCTCCCATTGATCACTAAATGAGAAAATGCCTTACAGCTGGATCTCACAGAGGCCTTTCCTCTCTGATGACCAGCCGGGACATATGATATATACTTTCATGATGGTAAAGAATTGCTAAAGCCGGGCGTTGGTGGCACACGCCTTTAATCCCAGCACTCGGGAGGCAGAGGCAGGCAGATCTCTGTGAGTTCGAGGCCAGCCTGATCTGCAGAGGGAGTTCCAGGACAGCCTCCAAAACAATACAGAGAAACCCTGTGAAAGTGCCGTTCAACCACCGAAAGGGTCACAACCCACAGGTTGGGAAACGCTGTGCTAGGAGATGTTACACAGGTTGCTAGGAGAGAAAAGCCACCAACGGTATTTCCCTCTGGTGTGCCCTGCATGCTACAATACTACCTCGCCAGGCAAGATGTGACCGCTGGTGTAGAAGTGTCACAAAGATTATGGGGGTAACCCATCCCTTTTGGGTTGACTTGAGGCCTGCGTCACAGAACGGAACTGATGCTTGAAACTGTCAATCTGATCAAAAGCCCTCAGCTAGAGAGGTTATAGGCCTCAAGGGGCAACCTACTACTGTTGTCTTGCTAAACTGGCATGTTGTCAACTGCCTTCTAAATACTCATGTTTATATCCTTAGCCAGGGAAGCCTCTCTCTGAAGTGCTCAACCGTTAATTCAGAGACTCCTAACTGTTAAAGTGCTGAGAATGAATGCTGACCCCCTGTGGGCTAGCTATGTCGACTTCCCCAGACTCAGTAACAGTATAGAAGAGGGTTAGGAGGAGTGTAAGGGTTGGTGTATGAGAGACAGCAGCATAAAATACCATCTTCTTTCTGGAGGTGATGTGGCCATTGCACTCATAAACTGACTGCAGCCCTGGTTCCCTGTACAAACATGTACAAGATCAAGCCGACAAGATCAGTCACCACTCCAACATGCAGCCCTTGGGCATGACAGGAGATGGGAAGATACATTGGGAGTGTCTAGGAGACAAGGGGTGCTGGGGTACACAGGATCAATATACATTGTTTACACATACGGAATTGTCAAAGAGTAAATAAAAGATATTCTAGCTTTGTGCTGGGTAGGCACTGATCTCTTAACTTTGATACGAGGAGCAGAGTAACCTATCACCTTACAGAATGGGTTGTCTTTGGAGAGAGTGCTTCCACTAGGAAGTCTCAAATGCACTGTGATGGTTGCCCCCAGGACCATCCCATCTTGAATCTGGTTTTCCTGGTTCATTTTACATCATTGCCACAAATAATATTTTCCCCAGCTTTATGTATATATCTCCTCCTGGTGCCTCAAATCTAGAAGAATGCTCATAGAGAAGTGCACTAACCTGACAGCTGTGTGGTCCATGGTGACCTGGGATTCACTTCCGCAAGTCATCCGTGAGCCCTATGTATTGTTGGCATTATGAAGGTACCAGGGCTTCAAGAGTAAATGGCAGAGGCTCCTGTTCTCTGTCCACAGTCAAGGAAGCCTCCCCAATGAAGGAGAGAGCAGGGTCTATGCAGATCAGGGAGGTTCTACAGGCAGAAGGGATGAGTCTCATAGAGAGAATGGAAGGACCAAGGACTGGGTAGCCATCACAGGTGTGTACGTGCAGGCGTGAGTGTGTGTGTGTGTGTGTGTGTGTGTGTTTTGTAGTTTGCAGATTAATAAACAATCACTGTTTTGCAGGCCAAGAGGAAAATGAATACTACCCTGTACACAAGAGAAAACAAGGCAGAAGTTTTCTTGTTGACCAAATTCAGAACTTTATTTGTAGACGGTAAAATTTCTTACCAGTCTCCATAACAGAACTATTGTTTTTGTTTGTTTCCCGGCCATTTAGTTATGCAAAAATAATTCCTATTTCGTGGGTGATACCACACCAAGGCAGGCAGGATTTAGGGTAGTGTGTCCTCCTACCTAACAAGACTGTCTGGTTATTTCTGAGGGTGATGGTTTGTTTTCAAAGCTGTTCTCAAACAGGGGTGACCTCAATGGTCCTGATCCAATTGTCCACACCTGGGCCCCTGGCCACCTCCAATTATTATCACCTGATGTTACAAGACTACAGGCTGAACACCCCGTACCTGTTTCCTCCCTCTGGGAACCCAAGGGTACTCCTGCCCCAATGAAGAAAACATTGTTTGATCTGGGGCAGGCACCTGTCACCCGACCCCAGTAACTGGTCTAGAGCATCCCTAAATGCTGAAGTGCTTGGAACCTTCCAAGCAGGTGCATTCTGTGTTGTTGTGAAAAGCAGACAGCGCCTATCTAGGGATCAGGTGTCTTTTGGGTGCCAAAGGAAGACAAAACTAGGTCTCAAGTGTGGAACCTAGGGTCCCCTCCTCCGAGCAGCCAGGTCGAGTATGTAGAGTCGTCGGAAGAGGCAGCCGGTGAAATCCTTGCTCCCTAACTGCCCTGTCCTCAAGCCGGCCCCCTGTAGCCACCCTCCAGGCTGCTCCTCACGGTTCTGGAAGCACCATCCCAAGGGACAGATCCTTAAGCCACCGCTGTGCAGGAGCCGCTGGCGCGACCTCGAGGATTGCTGGCTCCTACCAAGCGCCCTCAAACTTGCACTCGAGGGCGCGGCTGAAGTCCTCCCTCGAGGCGCCCACAGCCCGGGCTCGTGCATGGAGCACTAGGCCTCCGCCGCCACCGTCGTCGCTACCCCGCGGGGCGGGGCAGGAGTTGGCGCTCGCAGGGACCCGGGCTGGTCCGGCAGTTGCGCAAGTGGCACTGGGGCAGCTATAAGAGCGGGCAGGCAGGCATGGAGCTCCGGAGGAATCCCCGCGCCAGCAGCTGCAAGGTAAGGCCCTGGGTATGCTTTCTCCCTCTCCGAAAGTCCTTGGCGCACCATAGTACCCCACCTAACTCTGGAACCTAGAGAAACTGAGGCAGGAGGGAGGTAGTGTGGATGGCTTGGTGCTGAACTAAGTAGCTTTGCAGTGAGGTTCTAGACAGAGGGAAGGCGGCTGAGAGCAAAAGAGTGTTGAATTGCAGGCTGAGCCGGGCTGGGCCCACTGAGCGCTAACCCGTTCTTGCAGAGCCAGCCAGGGACTCCAGGAGCGTGTTTGGTCTGCAGACTTGAGATGGTTAGGGAACCGATACGATCAGATCTCACACCTGTCAGATGGACAGAGCTGGACAGGCAAGGATGCAGCGTTTCCAGGTTCCCGGGGGCTAGATACAGCCTCGCTTTGCTTAAGAACTTATTTTCCAGTGAGGGTCTTTACCGGGAAGGGGGCCTACCCAGTACTAAAACTACTGTGGAGCAGAGTTGGGCAGAAATACACTGAGAAAGAGCCCACTCCACGCAAAAAAAAGAGTTGCACCAGAACTCACTTCATCTGCCCTCAAAGCCAGGCAAATTATCTTCCTCAGGGACTCCCTGCCGGGAACAGAACAGCAGACCATGGGAAAGGCCTGTGATCAGCATGAGTTTTACTGCTAGGCTTTTCTACCAACATGGTCGAACGCACATTGCCAGCCTGAGGATCCAGTAGGCCCCTCCTTCAGGGGTATATCCCTCTGGGGTCCTTTAGACTGGATGGTGGATGTGGCACCCAAACACTCCTCTGTCTTCCTGGGGAAGTGGTGCCTTAAATATGGTCAGATGCCATGCTGCTTTGTGGGAACAGCTGCTTGAGAGGGGACAAAGCAACTGAGTCATGTCTGTTGGAAGTATGGGATTAAGGAGAGGTAGACAGAGGGCAGAGACTTGGTGGCATCGTCCGGGAAGATTAGCCTCTCCCCCCTGGGTGACCTATGCAAGGTGTGTGTGTGTGTGTGTGTGTGTGTGTGTGTGTGTGTGTGTGTGTAGAGTTCTTGCTGGGCAGTGGTCAGCTGTGACCGGGGGGAGCATTTCCAACCTTTCACTGATCTGGGTGGTGTGCGGAACCACATTTCAAAGCCGTGATCATGTATCTTATTGAGGCATGAAGAGAAGCAACCACACACACACACACACACACACACACACACACACACACACACACACACGGATTCTTTCCAGGTCTTTCCTTTCTCAAGCACCTGCGGATGCTGGGCTGAGGGGAACATGGCCATGTTGGCTGAAGGAGCACCCTTCTCATATTTGGTATATCTTATACCCCAAATAACAAACTCTTCACAGTATCTGGGGAAATATTTTCCTCCTGCTCTGTTCCAGGAAAAAAAAAAAACGCAAAAAGCCAAGGAGAGAGCCAGGGAAGTTGCAATGAATTCTTGTCCATCAGCCCCAGGCAGATGCCTCTCATGTGACCCAGGAGGGATGCAGAAATGTCTGCTCAGGAGACTATCTTTCAAAGCCTCAGTTGTTCCCCTAGAGGCACACTGGAGACAGGGAGATAGAGCAGGGTCTCCAGGGATGTGGAATTCTTGTGGGGTATGAACGAGCCCATGGACAGCCTTGAAATTCTTCCCTGTCCATACAGCTGCTTCCCAGAAGCGCAGGGGTTGGGTTCCGTGGAAAGACAGCATGTCTGTCGCTCAGATACACAAAGCTCCTTTGCAGTTGTCCCCATGTGACAATAGACATGCCCTGCTCTCCAGCAGGCTGCACGCCCCCATCTCCCCTGCTGTCTGTGAGCTCTCAGAATCTACAACAACGTCCGAGCTGACATTTCACCTAAACCACAGACTCACCCCCCATCTGTGTGTGCACATTGTGTTTGCACTCAGGAGTACCAGAGCTGGAGGGGGGTGAGGGGGAGACACAAAGCTGACAGGGGGAGCTCAGCATGGGTCCCCTGACAAAGACCCACAGGCTCCTGGACGGGTCGAAGTCACTTGGAATGACAGTCCACACAGGACGTCCCCATTGCGGCAGAGTTCAGGAAGCTGAATGAGAACTATGTGGGGGCTGGGACACAGGGGAGATGCAGAGGCAACTCAAAGCGGGGAAGGAAGAGAACGCTGGACACCGAAGCATCCTAAGACGGCTTCGCAGGGAGCTGTGGGGGCAAAATAAAGTCCAAGACGGCAGTACGAGCCTGTTACCTCTGCACTAGGAAGGCAGGGACAGGGGGACCAAGAGTTCATGGCCAGTGTGGACAGCATGGTGAGTTCAAGGCCAGTCTGGGCTTTGTGAGACTGTCTCAAAGAAGAAGGAGAAGGAGAAGGAGGAGGAGGAGGAGGAGGAGGAGGAGGAGGAGGAGGAGGAGGAGGAGGAGGAGAAGGAGAAGGAGAAGGAGAAGGAAGAAGAAGAAGAAGAAGAAGAAGAAGAAGAAGAAGAAGAAGAAGAAGAAGAAGAAGAAGAAGAAGAAGAAGAAGTCAAGGATGGAGAATATTTATTCATTCAACAAAAACTGAATAAACACCTGCCCTGTGTCAGGCCCTTGGTAGATGCAGAGCCAAGTGCAGGTGTCACTAATGGATTGTGGCACCCTCTTTCAGCGTGGAAGGAGCTCCAGTTCCCCTTCCGACAGTGCTCCTGGGAGCCACTGAAAATTGATCAGAGTTGACACAGGAGTTGAAATCTATTTGCTTTCCCTGATGGGAATGAACAGCATATAAGCCCCTCACCCACACTGAGCCTACCAGCTAAGAATGTCAGCACGATTTCTCAAGCAAGGCCTTTGGTTGCAGAGAAGAGAAAATTGCTCCTGCTAGCTTAGTGATTTTCAAATTGCACACTATGGCCAACATTTGAAGAATGAACTGAAATCCCCAAGAGTGTGTCACCTGCAGCAAGGGCAAATCTCTTTAAAACATTTTTTAAAGTGTGTGTGTGTGTGTGTGTGTGTGTGTGTGTGTGTGTACAAGAGTGCCATGCATAGCACATGTGTGGAAGTCAGAAGACAACTTGCAGGGATCAACTGATTCCTTTTACTGTGTGGGAATTGATCTCGGATCATTTGGCTTGGATAGAAAGTGGCTTTACCCACTGAGCACCTCACCAGCTCTTGTTTGTCTATTTAGTGTGTATGTGTGAGGGTGCATGTGTGGACATACATGGGCCACAGAGCGAATATGAAGGTCAGACAACAACTTGTGGATCCAGCATTTAGGTCCCAGGGATAGAATTCAGGTAATAACTGCCTTTATCCACTGAGCCATCTTGCCAGCCCAGGAGAAAAACTTACTAGTACTCTGTAGTTCAGTAAGATAGCTATGGACAGTAATTAACTGGACAGTTCAAAAAAGCTAATATAAAATCAATACTGAGGAGGCAAAGAGATGTCTCAGTGGGTAAAGTGTGCACTATATGCTAGTAAACACACACACACACTAAATACATGTAAAAATGCTAAAGAGTTAGTTTAAAGAAATAAAGAGAGAGGAGAGAGAGAGGGAGAGGAGAGAGAGAGAGAGAGAGAGAGAGAGAGAGAGAGAGAGAGAGAGAGAGAGAGAGAGAGAGAGAGAGAGAGAGAGAATGAGTTAGGTGCGCTCTTAGACTAGAGACATGTGGTCTTCCTGTATCTACAATTACCAGATCTGTGAGCAACCTGACGTGGGTGCTGGGAACTGAACTCTGGTCCTCTGGAGTAGCAAGCCGTCTCTCCAGCCCCAGTAAACACTTTTAAAGAAGTCATGCTTCCTAGCTAGCATCTCCTGTCCTCAGCTAGCCATCCTCCCCTCCCTCCCCAAACTCCTCTGAGGGTCTAAGAATTGTTATTCTTTTCTCTCTGCTTTGAGATCAGCATAACGTCCTCCAATTCCGTTCACATTGCCGTGATGACAGCATTTCATTTATTGTATGGCAAATGCTATTTCATTGTGGATGTGTACCCCATTTTATTTATTTATTCATACCTCAATGGGCACTTAGATTGATTGCATATCTTGGCTATAAACATGGAAGCAAAATATCTCTTTGACGTACTGGTTTCTTTTCTCTGGGTATATGCCTAGGAACAAGATGGCTGGGTCATAAGGCAGTTCTATTTTTAGTTTTCAGAGGCATCTCCACACTGTTTTCCATAGGGGCCGCATTCATTTACAGTTTCGCTAGCAATGTCTGAGACTCTGTTTCCCCGCCCCCACCCCCAGCATCTGCTGTCCTTTGTCTTTTTTGACAAAAGCCACTCTGAGGTGAGATGATATCTCACTGTGGTTTCGATTTGCATTTCCAAGATATTTTCCTATGCTCCTTAGCCAGACATTATCTGAATTTAATTCATAGTAGCATGCCAAAGATTGTCAGAAAAAAATTCTATAAAACTCTGACGACTGCAGAAAGAGAAGAAGGGAGAGAGTGTGTTCTGGGTGTGTATGGGGGAGCGAGGCTGAGCCCACAGATGGCAGCTTAGCCAATGGATGCCTCTGTGACCCAGTGCTCCCCCAAATTGCCATTTGCCGCGTTGCTGCGTAGTAGGCAGGCCTGATCTAGACTCTGCTACCTTCCAGTCTGGATCTGAAGAAGTAGCCAGTGGTTGTGTCCATCCCTACCCATCTTGTCCTGAAGGGTCTGCCCTGGCTGCTGGATGGAAGGAAGGAGAGGGTGTTCACATCTGAGGCCACCAGTGTCTTGGGGGACGAGGGTGCTCTTGTCTGCAGGGAAGGGCATGGTAGAAGCTGGGAGCAGCACAAGGAGGTTATTGAAGGATCACCTAACTGGGGCCCTGTCCCGGACCCAGGTGAGATCAGAAGGGGAAACAGGTGGGCCAATGGTGCAGTCCACAAGCCTCTTAGAGCAGTCGAGAGCCTGTTTTCTGGAGACCTATGTCACTGCCTGGAGCTGTCTCCGGGCCTCCCCTCTGTTCTCTGTGTGCCCCACCAGGGAGTCACAATGGAGATGAGGTGTGGCATGGCCTGGGTGATAGGGGCATGCAGCCTGCAGAAGAGCTATAAAGAGAGATGTCCTGAGTGCAAAACAGGAGTAGAGAGTAGGAGGCAGCCTAGCAGTGCCCACCCTGTCCTGTGAAGTTCCTCTTCTTCCCAGGCTCCGCTGCAACCATCCCCAGAAGGGAGGGACACAATGTACTACATCAGCATTTCAGCAATTCCTCAGCCAGATCTTAGACTAGAACACTCTTAAGTATTTAAACCCACTTCAGAAACTTCTGGAAAGAAAAGGCTTTGTGGCCTCAGCTCCCTGAAACTACATCTATGAGTTCTTCTTTCCCCTGAGTTCCAACCTACCCCCAATTCTAACTGGTCACCAGATAGCATGCCCTGGTAGTCCTTAGGGTTAACCAAGGCATTTCATCTACTTAAATGTTCCCCCCCTTCCGTTGCGATTTTAATGACCTACATTCTTACAATAGGACACTGCTTTGCTCTTTTAATTATTTTTTTTTTGGTTTTTTTCGAGACAGGGTTTCTCTGTGGCTTTGGAGGCTGTCCTGGAACTAGCTCTTGTAGACCAGGCTGGTCTCGAACTCACAGAGATCCTCCTGCCTCTGCCTCCTGAGTGCTGGGATTAAAGGCGTGCGCCACCAACGCCCGGCTCAATTTTATTAACACTATTTATTTATTTTGGGCTTTTGTTTTTCTGAGACGAGGTCTTGCTCTGTAGCCCAGGCTGGCCTGGGATTTACAGGAAAGTCTCCTGCCTCGGCCTTACAAACGCTAAACTCACAGGTCAGCGTGGGCCACCGTAAACAATGCCGAAAGCTGCTGCATGGCACTTCTGCTTCTATTGGTTGGCCACATTTGGGTGTGTAACTGTACCTAATGGTAGAAGCTGAAAAATGTAGCAGTTGTTTATCATGGCTGCACATATCCCTTAGGACCCGGGAGTGTCTTCAACTGGGAAAGACAGAAAAATAAGACGCTGGGAGCAACTAACAGTCTCCACAACATGGCTGTGTATGTTGGTGTGTTTCTGTATGTGTGTGCTTTGCATAAGCATGTTATGTGCTGTTGGGGCAGTCGGTTCTCACCTTGGCTGAGACCTCGGAAGGGCCTGTAACCACTTCTTTCTGCAAGCCCCCATGCGTGTCCCAGAAGCCTGGCTTCTTAGGCTTTACAGACTCAGCAACGGCACCTCAGTTCCATGTTTTCAAAGCACTGCAGTTTATTGCCAGAATCCACTGGGGCCTATTATCCATGCCGAGAGAGGGCTTGTAAAGCTGTTTGTCCATTTCAATAGTTCAGGTGGCCATTATGTGAAAATAGCTATGGTACGACCATAGCTAATCTGATAGTAAATCCTGTAAGGAAGGAGGGCATCGTCAACACGTGAATCTTAGAAATGAATGCCACACACTCTTGTGGTACAGGGGAAAACCCACAAGTACCAGGTTCCCCGCTGGGATGCCCATGGGAGGCAGTGGACCCAGTGCGTGCCTCAGAGTCAGCTGCAGGTGCTGGTGCCCAGAGCGTTGCAAGCTCTGCCCGGTAATTACAATAATTTGTAAGTAGCTGCCATTTACTCCCTCAACCCTGAGCCAGACAGGCCAAGATAGGCAGGGATATCGAAAATTCATCTCATTTACTCTTTGGAGCCAGTGCTAGCTCCATGTTACTGGTAGGACCAGATACTTTGGGACTAACTATCCTTGGGGGGGGCACATAGAACCAAACACCAAACAACAACAACAAAACAGGCTGCAGTTAAAGCCTGGGGTCTAACTATTATACTTGGTTCCTTCACTGGGGTTTCAGGGAACTAAGTGGAGGATATCAGCTAGCAGCCCTGCTGATCTGTGGAGACTATGTTCCATGACTTCCGGTGGACACCTGAAGCTCGTGAGAGGACTAAGCCCCCATATGCATTTATTCTTCACATGCCTTGGAGCACAGAGCCGTAGAACTCAAATCCCTCTCTCCTTGAATGTTTATGCCTCCTTGAATCACCGTTCCTGCTTTAGGGCCATTATTAAATTAAATAGAGGTTAACAGGAATACATTGTGATTCCATGACAGTTGATGTGATAACCAAGAAGCTACTAAGTGGCTCCCAGGCAAGTAATGTATACAGTGTGGACACCCTGGGGGAGGGGTTTCACGTCCTAGGAGGGGCAGGATGAGGCGGTACCAGACTTCATAATACTACTCAGCCCGGCACAATTGAGAGCTGATGAATTATTCATTTCTGGAATTTTCTATTTAATATTTTAGGATCACAGATGACCAAGGATAACTAAAACCTCAGAAAGTGAAGTTATGGATGGGGGCGGGGAATTGCTATGTTTCAATCTGCCCTTCACACATCCCAGCCCGCCATTCATCTTTTTGACTTTGGAAAAGTCGACTCATCTTTCTGAGCTTCATTTGTTTTCTCTTCTGTAAAACCCAGATTAAAAAGAGCGTACCTTTAAGCAAGCACTATAAATAATATATAAGCAGTATGCTCATTTTTGCTGTACTGCCAGAAGGTGAGTTATACTAATATCACCGCCAATGGATGGCCACGCATTACCCGTTCCCACCAAGACCCAGATGAGGAAGAACACAAGAAAGGAAAAGTCAGTTTTTCCACCGTCTCCACACTCATCATCCTAATACTTATGAATATCTCTATTCTTGAAGCTCACACACACACCCTTAGCATGGATCACTGGCTACAGACTTGCACACATTTCAGTCTATTGCTTTTTCCTTATGCATCTCATCAAACCTGTGTTTCATAATCAAGGGTCTGCAGGGTGTTAATTTAAAAACTCATGGCTCCATGACTGAAATTTCCAGCATTCTAAGTAAACGCGCTGTGCTCTCTCCTGCCTCCATGCCTCTGCAATTCTGGTCTCTTGGCCGTGAAGGGCAACTGTGCTCCACTCTCTCAGCCCCTTCTCAGTCTGCAACACTTCCAAGGCAACCTCCTCTGGGCTCCTGCGACGTCTCACACTTGTCTCCTTGTGAAGCTCCGTCTTCCTGCATTGAAACAGCCTATTTTGCTTGTCTGTCCCTCCTGTTACACGGTGACACTAGAGAGTGGGAAGTATCTTCCGTCCTTGGTGCACTGTGTCTGGTGGAGAAATGCTGCTTGGATTGAGGTCCCCACTGGGAGAGGAAGGGGCTTATAAATCAGTAAAGATGGTCATAACAGACAGCAGCAGGCTGCTGCCGTGAGGGCAGCAGGAAGGGCCAGGCAGCACTGGGTCCCTAATAATGGAGCAGTGAGAGGGACACTTCCCAGCTCCTCTGGCTCTTTCATATGTGTTAGCTACTCTGATCCTCATGAGATAGGTAGATTACAGGGGAAAATGAGGGGTTTTGAGTGGTTATGTGATACACCTAAAGCTAGGCAGTGACTAAACAACTGCATCCAATCCAGACCTTAAGAGTTGGTCTCTTCCCCTTGAAGTATACAATAAAGCCTCCATTGTCATCATCCATGTGACAAGTGCTGCCCTGTAATCTCCAGGACGCATCACGGTGGCGGTATTGACCTGTCAATAATGCTCCCAGGGGGATGCATTTCATTAATCCAGGTTCCATAATGAACTGACTTTGAGAAGATGGTAGCTAGCTAGGGAAGAAAGCAAATCTTATCCATCCCCATCCGACAGCAGGTTGGCAGCAGGGCCGATGGGTGGATTTATACTGGGCTCTTGAAATGTGTCATTCCTTCTGTTTACAGGCCCAAGAAGATCCCAGGAAGGAAAATGTGCTGGAGACCCCTGTGCTGGTTCCTGTGGCTTTGGTCCTATCTGTCCTATGTTCAAGCTGTGCCAATCCAGAAAGTCCAGGATGACACCAAAACCCTCATCAAGACCATTGTCACCAGGATCAATGACATTTCACACACGGTAGGGAGACTCTGTGGGACAAAGGAGAGAGAAACATGTTGAGCACTTTCTGAATGCCAGCCACATCCGAGAAGTTGACAATTTACAAACCTAGGGTGTCCATTCTTTCTGGTCATGGCTCTTGACCCTCTGCCTCCTGGAATCCAGAGCTGAGTGGTTCCAATTTCAAATCCAGCACCCAGACTGCTTCAACTATGGTTCTAATTCTAAGCCACTTTAAGGGATCTGACTTCATCATACACTCCCTTTAAGAAGCCATAGATTCTATGACATTATAAGGCCACCTATGTTCATTTTCTCTCTGCCACAGGAAACCCTGCCCTCAGGGGTTAGCAGAGCATGTAAGGCATACATCAAGGAGAACCGTGGTCCATATCCCTGCTCTACAGACCACTATCTCCCCTTCTCCTCACTCAGCCCTTTGTTTCTGTCTCTTATTCTCCTTCCTTCTCAAAACTACTTCCTTGAATCCTAGTATCCAGGACCACAGGAAACCCTGAAGGTCATGGTGTCCCATTGACCAGTGACCAGACTCCCAGCAGTATCTCTACTGGGTAGTGTCTACACAGGAGGGTTGTCAGGTTCTAACAGTTTTAGCTACAACTTTCCCTGCTTTTGCACACCCTCATTTCAAAGTCACACAGAAGAGCAATCTTCATCACCTTTCAGAAGTAGTCATCAGGGCCATCCATGGGAGACCTCACTATCCAAATGTGGGTAGCAATGGGAGACTGTCACTGAGGTGGGCGGAGCCCTTCCTGGGAAACAGCCTCACTAGAGTCGGGAGAGGAGGGAGAGCTACATAAGAACATGACTGGGAGGGAGAGATCCGATAAGGGTGAGTCTAGAGTGAACATAAGGAATAGGGAACCCTGCTAGTCCCTCGTGGATGTCATTTGGAGAAAGGAATTACCCAATAAGATTAGTCAGAAGTGAAGGGAGAGGAGGCTCAGAATAAGCAGAAATCTGGGAGACTAGCTCAGTGGCTCATCACTCAGCTGAGCACGGGAGACAAGGGCCTGGACCAGTAAGGATAGGAAGGAAGGAGGCAGCCTAGGCTCACAGACGTGACGGAGTTCTAAGCCAACCAATTCCCCTGCCATCTACTGAGTATCTGCTGTTCCCCTTTCTCCTGCACAGCAGTCGGTATCTGCCAAGCAGAGGGTCACTGGTTTGGACTTCATTCCTGGGCTCCACCCCATCCTGACTTTGTCCAAGATGGACCAGACTCTGGCAGTCTACCAACAGATCCTCACCAGCCTGCCTTCCCGAAACGTGGTGCAAATATCTAACGACCTGGAGAACCTCCGAGACCTTCTCCATCTGCTGGCCTCCTCCAAGAGCTGCTCTCTGCCTCAGACCAGTGAGTTGCAGACGCGAGAGAGCCTGGATGGTGTCCTGGAAGCTTCACTCTACTCCACAGAGGTGGTGGCTCTCAGCAGGCTGCAGGGCTCTCTGCAGGACATTCTCCGACAGCTGGACCTTAGCCCTGAATGCTGAGGTTTCAGGACCACCAGCCTCCCAAGAATCATGTTGAGGGAAGAAGCCTTAGCTTCCAGGTGTCTCCGGGAGAGGAGAGCCATGAGTGCACATCTTTCATCCAGGACTCTGTCCACGTCTCTCACTCCTCTAGGTCACCCTTCCAAAGGCATGACTCCACAACGCTTGACTAAGGATAGACACGCCATTCCATGAGCACTAGGAGGGCCAGTCTGCGGAGGTGATTCTCACCCAGTTCTTCAGCAAGTAGAGATAAGAAGTATCCTGCCCCCTCCCTGTTCCAGGGGATATGGGGAAGGGGTGGGTAGAGCCTTTGGATTGTCTTAGTGTCTCCTGGGGAGCACCATGAAGGCTGCATCCACACACAGCTGGAAACTCCCAAGCAGCGCATGTTGGAAGCGCTTATTTATTTATTCTGCATTTTACTTTGGATGGATCTGAAGCAAAGCATTGGCTTTGTCAGGCTTTGAGGTCAGTCAGGGCTAGGGAGGTTCCGGGGGTGCTGTTTTCAACCCCAGTTGATGGGTCTGCCTGAGGTAAACCTATTTTGAGTGACTGGGGTTGGGCTCATCTGAGCAAGAGCCAGCCAAGGTGGCTCTCGAGTCTGTCCTCTGGTGACTGGTTTCATGCAAACACGTTTGCAGTGGCACTGCCTGGAGCATAGGCTAGGTTATTATTGAAAGAAGATGAATTTTGTCAAGTGTAATATATATCTGTGTGCACCTGGGGGTAGGGGATGTGTTCAAGGGAGGGAGAAGAACTCAGAATGTGTAAATAACATATATGTGGGAGGCTTTTCTAAAAGGGTGAGATGGTCTCCTCACCTTCTGCCACCACCTAGTGTGGCTTTTATGAAAAGAACCATTTGGTCCCCTTGGAGGGGGTTAAAGCCACAGACTATCTTATTGGTGCATTGCTGAGCTCAGGAGTGAGGGTCCCACAGTTGAGACAGTGATCCCCAAGAATAGGGTGCCTGGTATGGCCCTCCAAGTTGTCCACGTTGATCCCACAATGGGTTTCTTAACCTGGCAGTAACCCTGGTAGGTGTTTGCATGTCAGTATGTGGTTCTCATCTGATTGGTTCATCCAAAGTAAAGCCATGTTGACCACCCACTCTGTGGGGAGCTTTGTTCCAGTGGGAATGAGATCGTTCGACTGATGGTCCTGTGCCCTGGGCCAGCACTGCTGAGGAAGTGCCAGGGCCCCGGGCCAGGCTGCCAGAATTGCCCATCGGGCTGGAGGCCATGAGGATGAACGAAGGGGCTTGGGTTTTTCCACTACCCTATACCCTAATGTCACCATCGCACTGTGGGTGGCAGATCATAGCAAGAAAACTTGATCGAAAGCAATACACTTTAAGACTGAGCGCCCTGAGCGTGCTCAGCCCTGACTGGTGCTGTGGGCTGCAGAAGCTCACCAAATAAACTCAAAACGCAGGGGCTCGGGTCCCTGCACTAAGACCCTACTCACGGGTGTGCCAAGGTGGACGCTTCACCCCGGCAGCGCCGCACAGCCGAGAGCACAGTGCTGTCTTGAACCGGTGGGAAGCAGCCTGAGCTGAGTGTAACAGTGCCCAGGGAAATCCTACTTGCACTCTGTAGCATTTGCATACTTTTCAGGACACATTAGCATCCATTGCTATTGCAGCACATCCTGTTGACACAGGGCAGCGGGGCTCGCTAAAATAAGAAAATTCAGGCTGAGGATCCCTTATCCAAAATGCCTGGGACTAGTCAAGTTATGGATTTTTTGAGTCTTTTCAGGCCTAGGTATCGTGGAGTAGATATAATGAGATATCTTGGAGGTGGGGCCCAAGGATAGACATGAAATTCATTTCTATGTCATAATACCGTAACACACAGCTTGAAGGTAATTTTATACAGTGTTGTTAAGTGATGTTGTGTGCACGAAACAAGATTTCACAGTGTGGAGTTTTCTGCTCGTGGCGTCATGTCATCACTCAAAAAACACCGGGTTTTGAAGCATTTTTGGATCTTGGGTTTTTTTGTTAAGAGTTATTTAGACTATACTTAAAACTATAATGGCAAACAGGTGGTGGGACCAGGCTAGGGACTGGTTCCTCAGCCCCAAAGGGTATTCCTCCAGCCAGGTGACGCGCACAAGGAGGTGAACTGGATCAGGTTTGGGGTGCCGGGTAGAAGAGGGGAGCTTGGAGTGGATTTTGGAGGAGGTGAGGCATGTGAATTGCCTACTAGACGGATGCTGATTTTGGAAGTAGGATGTGGAGAGGTAGAAGTGTGAATACGAAGTGAAGGGGAAGACGGACAAGGAAGAATGGAATGGAAAGGAAAATTCTAGAAGGACTTCGTGGCCACAGAAGTGGATATTGAAAGAGTCCCAAGTGCCACAGTCCAGGGCAGAGGCTTGTGGTGGCTGGTGTCAGACTGTCCTGGGGTCCACAATATGTCACCTTGGTCAACTCATCAAGCTGAAATGTCCTGAGCCTTTGGCTCAGAAAATCTGACACTGTGGCTTATTCCCTGATTACAAAACTTCCCATATGCAAAAATGCTTGGTTTTTTTATTGTTTTTTGTTTTTCATATGATAACAACAAACTTTTGTTTTACTTTGTGTAAACCTAAATAAATTAACGATGCCTCCCTGCTTTGTTTTCTGTCTCCTGTGGTGAGGGGCTTCAAGGGAGCTGTTTGTGTGTGACAGGGCAAGGCCTGGCTGGCGTCCAGCCATCACCCGGGTCAGCTCCACCCGGCCTTGGCCACAGCCAGCCACCAGTTATTCAGGCGAAAGGATTACCCTAAAGCCCAGGGCTGGTCAAGGATCACATTCTACACCAGAGGCTGTGCACTCTTGCAAACCAGCCTTGAGAAGCACCAGGTTATTTTTAAAAGTCAGAGTCAGAAATATCACCAACAAAAGTCTACGCAAACGATCAAATGAAAACCACCCGAACAAACGACAGATCAGCCAAGCACGTGCAGCAGAAAAGATGAACCTAGCTCTTGGTAGCCATGGAAGAGTGGTCCCGTTAGCCCACTTAGGACCTGACCTGCTCAGCTCCTATCCAGAGAGACTGTGGGGCTGGTTATTAATGACTATCACTTCCATGACAACTCAAAAGACCATTTCCCTACCTAAAAGGTCACTGGCGTCTCTGGGGGTGAAATGCTAAGAAGGACCCCATAAAGCCCCAAGTTCAGCAAACTTTCCTCCCTTGCTATCACAATTAGCAACAGGCTAGGTTGACAGGTGTCTTCTGGGGAGCACAGGAGAGTCAGCTTACCTACCAGCTGCTACAACAGAGGACCATGGGCTGGGAGGTGTGAACAGACATTTTTCTTTCCATAATTCTGGGGACTGAATGTCAAAGACAAGATCCAACATAGTCAAGTCGAGTGAGGGCCATCGTACAAACTGGGACTTGCCCCGTCCCGTGGGACATTCAACGTGGGTCTGCAGAACACCTAGGAGAAAGATGGGGGACAGGAGATACGAAGAAGGATGACAAGACAGGATTCTGATCAAGTCGACAACCTTTATTCTTTCCAAGGTATATTTTAGGGGCTTGGAGGATGAAGCAAGAAGGGGAGCTTCAAGGAAGCTGTCAGGGCGAAAGGTCAGTGGGAGAGGTAGCCCTCTGTGCTGCCTGGAAACCTAATCTGCAGGGCAAAAGGTCAGGGGTAGAACCTCCTGTGTTGCTTGGTAACCTGACCGTAGATCCTTACTTTATCTATCTCAATCTTTCCCTATTGTCCAAGCCTATCTCCTGGTGGATGTGGGGGCTTTCTGTTGAGCTAATCTTTAACTGACAATTAAGCTGCAGACCTGTTTCTGGAATTTAGCAGAGGTAGCAGGGTGGTCCACAGTCACGTACTCCCCATGAGGATGGAGTCATGTCTTCTCTATGGGTATGTGATGCAGCCGAAGCTGGCTAATGGCTGGAGGCCTCTGACAGAGACTCATCTTTGTTGTTTTGTTGTTTTATTGAGAAAGGGTTTCTCTATGAGTAACTCTGGCCTTCCTTGAACTCTTGTGAGCTGGGATTAAAGGTGTGTGCCACCACTGCCTGGCTGTAGCTGCCATCTTAATGTGAAACCCTCACACAGCAGAAACAGAGGAAGGGGCTGCTAAGGAACTCCATTTTATAACAGTACTGGTCCCACTCAGACCTCTCATGGACTAATCACTCTGTCAGACCTCACCTTCTAACAGAATCAGTTTGAGGATTGGGATTTCAATATATGAATTTGGGGAGACACACCATCCAGTTCATGTGCTTGTATACAACCTAAGGGAGGTGATGGGATCCCAGACTCCTGAAGATAGACCACAGAGGATGTCACAGATGTGGCTTCAGCCTCCTTGGGTTGTATGAGAGTTCAGGGATGTGGCTGCTAATTGGGAATCTTTTATCTACTACTATGTCTAAAACCCAAGGCAAACCACCTTAAGAAAAGAGACACCGCACCAAAGACAGAATTTCTGTCCCGCCTGGTCCCCCAGCTGTTTAGCCCCAAATAAACACACAGAGGCTTATATTTAATTATAAACTGTTTGGCCAATGGCTCAGGCTTCTTATTGGCCAGCTCTCTCTTAATTATTAACCTACGTCTACGTATTGCCATGAGGCTGTAGTTTACCTGTAATGCTATGGCATGTTACTCATTCAGCGGCTACATGGTGTCTTGCTCTGGCAACTCTCTTTCTCTGTGTTCCTCTTCCCAGAATTCTCCTCGTCTGTTAGCCCCTCCTATACTTCCTGCCTAGCTACTAGCCAATCAGCATTTATTCATCAACAAATAAGAAACATATGTTCACAGCATATAGAAGGACATCCCCCATCAGGTCACAAAGATAAGAAATTCAGGCCCATGTCTGTCTCCAACACTTTTCCCTACACATCTGTCTTCCTCAGCAGCCTCACTCTCCCCCAGGGAGTGGCGAAGATGGCCTTCAACATCTCCGGGCTCATGGAGTCCTTGGTGCCCATCGTGGCCGGAGATGGACATCCTTCTCATTGAAAGGTGCCAGTGAACACTGCAAGGGGGTCTCTTTAGCCAGGCCTGAGTCACACGATCGATCACCTTGTTACTAAGGACAGGGAAGTTCCATGTGAACAGCATTGTCTGAGAATGAGCAAGCCCAGGTCCCACTACGTAATTCACAGAAAAACAGAAGAGTGGATAGGTGAAACAACTTGGTTTAAGGAAAAAAAAAAGACAAAACATAAAACATACCTGCCATAGCTTTCCAAACTCTCTTGAGTTCTGCTATGTGTAAGACTTGACAAGGGAAGTCCTGAATCTGAGCCTCTCACTCCTGGGAGTCCCTGCTACAGCCACCTGTCATTTTCTACCCCGGGAGCCACGCCTGGAAGACTGGATTCAGCAACCAGGCCTATAGCCACTGCCCCGCCACCACCCCACACAAGCTCTCTTAGAAGAAAAGGTCATTGGAGAGTCTAGTTCTCCATCCTGTAGATCCCTTGAGGTGGCGTCTCAGGAGGGAAAGGAGTCTGCACAGCAGACTGACAATGTTTAGGTGGTACTTCCTGTTTTTGTCTCCAGAGGCCTAGAAAGGTTCAGGCCTTCCCTGCCAGTCTGGGATAGGTACAGGGACCTGGAGATGATGCATCAGGTCCTTGGTGGCTGGGACAGGTTAAGGCCATCTTGTTTCTGAGCGGCCATGAGCCTAAAAGGCCCAACAGAGTGGGTTTGGGAAAGCTGTCTACACTAAAAGGGTCCCCAGAGCTAAGGCCTGGAGGTATTGTTCCATCCTGTGTGATGGGACTACCCAGTCCCCGGGAGAAGGGATTACCCTTTGAATTCTCCTTTCTGATCCCTCCCCACCCTTGGGCCTTGTGGTCTGAATACGAAGTGCCCCACACAATCTTGGGCATTCAGACATTTCATCCCAGCTGATGGTACTCTCTGGGCAGATTCCCGGGCTGCAGCCTTGTTGGAGAAGATATGTCAATGGAGGTAGGAGTTAAAAGCGGAAAGCCTTACCACTTCCAGCCGGGCCAGCTCCAGATGTAAGCCCTCCACCTCTGCTCCCGTTGCTATGACCCTGCTACCACCCTTCCACACCTCCATCCTGGAGTCTTATCCCTCTGGAATTGTAAAGCCAAAATAAACTCTCTTCCTTCAATTGCCTTTGGTTGTGGTGTTTTTGTCATAGCAACAGAAAAGTAATACAGGCATCTATTGCTTATGTCTCTGTGTATTTCCCCCAAGACAATAGCTCACATCTGCCAAACATGTGGCCGAGACTACAAACAACATTCCCCACAAAGGATAGGTCTTTGTCCTTGCCATGTCCAGCAAGAAAAGGTGATGAGACACCCGGGGAGCCACGAGGTCAGTGGCTAAGTACAGGAAGCAGCCAACATATTATGTTGTCATTGTTGTTAACAAGTCAGAGCTGCAAAAACAGTGAAATTGCTGCCAGGTGGTAGTAGTGCACGCCTTTAATCTCAGCACTCAAGAGGCAGAGGCAGGCGGATCTCTTAGTTCAAGGCCAGCCTGGTCTACAGAGCTAGTTCCAGGGCAGCTAGGGCTACACGGAGAAACCTGTCTCAAACAAACAAACAAACAAAAACAACCCCAAAACAAAACACACACACACACACACACACACACGCATGCACACAGTGAAATTCCTGCCGTAGATGCTCTCAGAGCCCTGCTGCACCCATGTTTCTGCATCTGGGGCCCCGCAGCTCCTCTGTGCACTGCTCTCCACAGCACAGCAACTCTGCTCTGCCCTGAGGAGTCCTCTCAGCCCACACACAGTCTGAAATCCAGAGTGTGTCTCCGTGAGTGGGAAATGGGGGTCTGTGGACACTCAGCTCTCTTCTCTCCCTGGAACAATCATGGGGTACTGTCTGTATAGAACTGAGCTACCCACAGCAGTAACCAGATTAGTAAAGTACTTTCTTCCTGGCCTCACTCTCCCCTCTCCCTGATTCTCGCTCCGCCTCCTAGGGACATTTGCCTAATCCACTTCCTGTACCAGACTCTCTCTCTCTCTCTCTCTCTCTCTCTCTCTCTCTCTCTCTCTCTCTCTCTCTCTCTCTCTCTCTCTCTCACACACACACACACACACACACACACCTCACACACACCTCACACACTACCTCCAGCTCTGTTACCGGAGTAACCCAAAGTCAGAGAACCTCAAGGAAAGCGGGTCTAGACAGACCGGGAAGTAGTGTCCAGCGTGGCACAAGAACCACACCACAGCGCTAAGGGAAAGGCCTTCACCTCCCGAAGGAGGGCCCTGGGGAAGGAGAGAGTCCACCATGGCATAAAGCGCCCACAACACAGCGAAGCTCAAAGAGAAGACAGAGCAGCTGCGGGGAAGGGCGGGGTAGGGCTGAGAATAACGTTTATAAGGGAAGAGGAAGAAGAAAAAGGGTAGGGACACCGGTAGAGAGTCTTGACAACTGATTGGGCACCAAGTCCATCACAGCCCAAGCCCTCTATCCTCACACGGTGGCCTGAAGAATTGAGACTTACCAAGAAGCCTAAGAGCACGTCCCACGGGAAGCCCAAAGGTTCGGCTCATATTCAAACTCGACTCACTTCTCTTCTTAGCAACCTCTGAGTTCCCAGACATTAGTGCAAGCCAGCTGCAGGGGGCAG